ATTATCCAAGAAACGTTCCGAGCGACTTTGGGTAACACTATAATCAATGTCATTTCCAATTCCGGATGACCTTTGTTGTATATACGCCAATCTACGACTCGTTATCGGCGTCGAGTGTTGCGTTTCCCGTGTCAACTTCCATCCAAAAATAGTTCCTCATGAAATTCATACCAAATAGAGTTCAATAACAACAGACCTGTCGAATCGATCGAATGAGAAAGCTCTGACAGTCTCCGATTTGTCAGAGCCAATTTGTATGTTTACACTGCGTTTAACCGTATGGAAATAACGTTTACTGGTATTTTCTGCGATAATGTGATTTTACCTTTTGAAATAAAGCCCTCTTTTCGGTCAAAAAATCAGGTTCATCGCAGGAGCTGAATGGCTCCATATTCTGCACATTCGTTATTCTTCGACGGCTCAAATATTAGGCTTACCCTCTGACCCGAACCCGCCAAATACAGTGTGACTTCTGGATGCGGATTCGAATTCAGGCTTAATGTTTATTTGTAGATTCGAGCCTACCTATGATTCAATAAATTTCATGTATAATGGGAATATTTAACACTAAATCAAATATTTCATATATTGTTTATGTTGGATAACATGTTAGTTCATAATAATGATAAAAGACTTGCAGTTTAATTTGAAATATGAGAGTGAATCTCAATTCTGACAACAAATTGTATCCCAGTTTGAATTTGAAAATGCTTTCTTTTTCAGTAAACCAAAATGGCAGCCCCTATCACGAGCAGCGCCTTTCCTCCGTCGACGCAACTAATCGACCTTCCCAACGTTAAAAGCGAATTGTTATTCACCATCAAAGAGTGTAGTTCTAGAGGTCTTCTTAATAGTGTCAAATGGTATGTATGTTTGCAACGCGTATCATATGGCCAGTGGTTTAGAGTGTTCGTCTAAGGTGCAATACATCACCTTGTCACTATCGCTTTTTGACAAACTAATGAGTTCTCATCCGAATCACCAGTTGAGGACATTAATGTTCAATACTGTCGATATCTCCTTCAAGTTTCCCAAAGAACCCAAATTATGGGAATTTACAGCGAGTTAGGGAGATACGTACCCTTTGGATATATTTATTAATAAATCAATTAATAAAATATTACAACCGCATTCAGAATACTAAAAATGTTTTCCTTAAAGAAGCTTTTTCAGTTAATAAAAGCCTAAAAATTAAGTGGTATTTGGAAATTACAGACTTGCTGAAGAATATTAAACAGGAATGTTTAATTAATAAAAGTGATAAATTAACTTCTACTGTTCTACAGACATAAATATCATCAAGTCCAACCTCAAACATAAATTTACATCCCATTGGAAAGAAGAAATCCATAGTGATATTCGTGAAAAGTCTGAGGGAAAAAACAAACTCAGAACTTACAGAACATTTAAATTCAATATCAGTATGGAATCATATCTCATCAATATCAAAAACATTGATTTGAGAACTAGTCTGGCTAAGTTCCGTCTGATTGACCATGCCCTCAAGATTGAGACTGGCAGACACAATTGTACTCCACTCAATAACAGGGTTTGTGACATGTGTTACCAAGATACCATTGAAAATGAATTTCATTTTATGGTGGAGTGTCCCAAATACAAATAGACGCAGTGTTAATTCTGTTTGATACAGCGGCTGATGTGATTGACTCCTTTCACAACCTGCCTCCTGAAGAACAGTTCACTGCACTGTTAAATAATGATAGTATTGTCATCCAGGTAGCACAGTATATCAACAAGTGCTTTGAAATTAGACAACAAATTTTGGATTAATTGAAGGAGTTGTTTTATTATTTTTTTTTTTTTTGCATTTAATATTTTGTTTTTGTAGATTAGTTTATTTTTTTTATTACTTCCTTATTAGTGTATTAGTACACAACTGAACAATGTGGATAATAAATAACATTACGTACTGTCAAACTTTTTATTTTCGCTTGCATTTAATTTCACTATTTTGACATTTTGAACAATTTCACAAGATTATGAGTTCAAAAGACTGAGAAGCAATGAGTTTCGTTGGTATACCCACAAGTATTTAATTAAGTTTTCCAGGTTTCATCTACGGGCTGCTATCAGTTCAGTTATATATCTTTTATATACCGTTATGTGCATGTGTTTGATACGCAGGGCAGCAGAATTATCCTGTGCATTGAGTGTTACTGAGCCATCTTCTTTGCCAAAGGAGGA